ATATATATATATATGTAGATAAATAGATATGTGTGTCGTGCTATAATATATCCAACCGCCCGGGGTTTATATAGGGTTTAGGATCGTATCCTGCATGCCCTAAAAACAGGATTTCACAAGCAAGTCATGATAACAACCCTCATAATGATAAATAAAGTAACAATCGTAATAAACAAAATAGTAACAAACGTCGTAGTAACAACAATAATACTCAATAGTCATAACCAAAGTAGCAATGATAATCAATAAGAGTAACAGTAATGCTAATACATAACCATACCTGACAATAATGGTAAACACTGGTAGCAACAACATTGCTTGTAATAGAAACCACAATAAAAAAACAATAACAACAACAATAACAATAATAATAACAATAACAATAAAAAAATAATGAAAATAATAATAACAATAACAATAATAGTTAAGACTAATAAGAATAATCATAATAATCATCATCATCATCATGATAATGGCCCATCTAGCCTTCTCCGGAGAGCTCTCGTCCAAGTCCGCCTGTGCGAGCGCGTAGCTGCAGGCTCCCAAGATGGACTGAAGCGTCTGGCGAGTCTCCTCTGCATGGGGTTGCTCGGGGTTGTAGGCTTCTCATGTGGGTAGTTCTCTACATTAGGGTCCTCTCATCGGTCCCCAACATAGTGCGGCACCCTCATGAAAAGGACCCCTTCTAGGGATCCTAATTTGGAGAACTACCCATGTGGGAGTTGACGGTTGAAAACTGCAGGGCTTCTGGTTTTTGGGGACTTTAGTTAGGGCCTTAGGGCTTCAGGCCATGGGCTCTGTTGTGAAATTGTGGCTCCCTTCGTGCGTCACCGTGTGTCTTCACGTCTACAAAGAAAACTTGCACCCGTGTCGAAACCCACCGAGGTGCGGCGAGCTTCGGAAAAGAAGCCTCTGCGCAGACTACTTACCCCGTTGGGCTGTGTCCACGGTGCCCTGCCTGCAAAACAAGCAGAGATATCACAAGAAGTTACTCAATTTTAAAGGAACAGCTCGTGCTTTAGAAGCACGTTCGCCTCCACAGCTGCGCCGAGCTCTTGCGCTTCATCCAGAACTCGCCGGGCATCGGCGGTCCTCTGATGAGGAGACATAGCTGAGGGATCGGAGCGTTCACTTGCACGTGGCTGTTGTATTGACATTGGGTGATAAGTGATGACGAGACAATGATGCTGAAACAGAAGAAGATGACGATCTTGATGACGATAGTGATGCTGACGATCGTGATTTTCATGACAACGAAGACAGCGATCACGACAAGAAGACACCAAGTTTAGAAGCGGATCCTCTGATCTCGCTCGCGACTTACCACCTTAAGCTCCAAAGCAAGATCCCGCGTTTCTGGGTAGGTGAATGCCGTTGATCGGGCATAGACAAAGCACTGTGCAAGCCGGCATGTTTCAGCTGTCTCAGTGCATCGGCTCATGACGTGCATTGAAGTGCTGAAATATTGCTGTACACCCGGACATAATCCATATGTGCTGGTTCAACAGCATCCGCATCAGCCCCAAAACCCTAAACCGCCAAGATGATCAGCCGTACCCAAAACCCGAGATGCTGCAAGCCCTCAGCTGGACGACAGTCCTTCGGAGCTGAAGATAGGCGCCGCCGAGGTAGACGCGACATAACAGACGCCAGAAGGTCCTTAGTGGCGGTTTCTGAAAACTTGGGACGCCCTTTTTCGGGGTCTTTGCAATGTCGATCTCGGCTTATGAGAAGAGTTGTATGTTTTCTGAAGGTCCTTAACGGGATTGGCATTTAGGGTTTCTAGACACTGGGCCCCATAGTGGGAACAGCGGGAGTCCAGGAGTCTTGGGGTTGAAACAGCAAACCAAGCAGGAAGCTCCTCAAGACCTAAAGCAGTGATGTAGGGGCCCTAATAGCTAGAATGCTAGAAAATGGGATTTTGGTGACATGTTACAGTACAACGCAACATGCGGACAAGAAGAGGATCAGCTGGCTACTGGTGATTCTTCAGTTGTACAGGCCCCCATATTCCGCCCATATCAACCTCTAATCTCCGGCGAAGCAAGGCAACGGCCTGAACGACCAATGTACCTCAAATGGTTTAAGCCCTATCATATACTACGATTGGCAACCGTAATGACAAGAAGAATTACGAACATCATCCCCGAAACCTCCGTCCGAGCTTCAAGTCCACCGTGCTCTCAGCGTCGGCGAGCTGGTCCGAGACCTGCACGCAGAGCTCGCCCAGCACAAAGGCCTCGCGTGCTGGAAGTCTCATTGTTGTTGAGCGGTTTAGGCGTTTCGGGGTTGTGGATGCAGGATCCCGGGTTGTCTTTCAATTTAGGGCCTTGTGTACTGCTAAGTACCGTATTATCTCGGATCTCTATCAAGGCATGAGATTAAAATGAAGTTTCTTTCCTGGCAACGAACCGCAACTCAAGACCCCGTCTGAGTGCATAAAGTGTGAAGCTTAGGAAGGTTGGGGTTCAGGGGTTTGGGGTCAGAGATAGGGTTTAATTCTGAAGGCTCTTTCGAAGTTCGAGCTGGTCCCAACAACAGGCTTCCCCTCGCCGCCGAGCGCCTTGTGGAACTGCCGGTTCTGCAAAAATCCCATCGCAAAAACGAGAGACTGCAGCACCACCTTGATACTTTCTGGCTTTATGGTGTGATTGCTGTCGTCTTCTGGGCTCCGCATTCCAAGATGGTCCAAGTTTTAAGGTTGAAGCTTGAAGCCCTAAGCCCTAAACTCTGAACTGGGGGCTTGTGAGAGTGCTAGCAGCTTTCCATGTCTTTTGAAGGAACCCCTGGGCATACATATGGCATCAGAGCTGCTTATCAGGTTTGACGCTGCGCCGCATGGATTACTTGGCGATATGTTTTTTGCCCAATTCTGTGAATATCCTTATACAGGGAAAATATACATACATACATACATA